GTTCCGCCGAAAAAAGTGAGTAGGAACATGTGACAAAGGGCATGGCTTCGGAACCCTCTCTTCGTACATGACTCAACCCAAGCACTGAGAAACGCAAAGACTGAGAAACGACGACCTACCGTAGCAAGGGCGACGACGAAATTGCATCTGAGTTGATAATCCGTGAATTCGAGAGTCGAGCCAACAGTGTCCTTCAGTATATTCCTTTGATTCACAAATTGGCCATCATGATTCTCGTCAATAAAGAACTGCTGCTCGAAATTACTCTTGATCTTTTCTGCCCACTCTGACCAAGCCCAGGATTCATCACCTGAAAGCACATAATCGCCTAAAATGAGCCCAAAATGGCTGAATTAAACATGACTGTTTAACATAGCCTTAATGAGAAAAGCTATTGCAAGCCTCTAGCAAAGTGAGAATACGGGGCAGCCAAAAAAAGACTGTGAAATCACTTATGCATAGACGAAATTCTATACTGTACGATATGTTGCCAGACACTTCAAGATTAGCCCAAGTACAAGATCGAGGCTCCAGAAAACTTTCTTCTCCTTCCCCTTGATTTAGTGCTAGATTACTCTATTCCCACTGAATTCAACCTTTCTGCCGTTAAAGCTTTCAATAAGGGATGGCACGTACACCTACCGATTCTTCAAGCTACAGACATCCCTACTTGCTGTTACCATTAGCACAAGAGCACACAACAATCTGAGAGCAGAGGGACTAGAAAGCCAGAAACTCACCACTGGAGACTCCATTCTTGTTTATGACACCAGCGTTGGCCCATTCAGACATCGCATTCAGCACACTATAAGCCAGTGCTTGTATTTCGACCGCCGCTCCGTCCCTTGGAGTCGCTGGCTCTCCTCGATTGCCAGCCTAAATACTACCGTTGATGCCCTTTTGAAATAAGAAGAAAAAAGATCAGGAGCACATCCTTCCGGCAAGAACGTGGTAAATGTAGGGCTTTAACATGAGACGCTAAGCGCTAGTTGACTTACTATCGAAGAAAAAGGGAAAAGAAGCTACTGGAAATGCACTGAATTGGGGTTCTATGCAGTACTATTAACCATGGAAAGGATTGACCCGACATGAGTTTGGACTCTGCAGAGGCTCGGCGTGGTGGACCATACATTATGGTCCAAAAGTTCCTTCACGCACAGCTCTATCATTGAAGCGTGGTCTTCCTAATGCTCGCTATAGCTGATGGAAAACCCTCAACATTAACTAATGGCTCTGATATAATCCACCCACTAGACTTTCATCTGCAACCTAAAATACAATCGCATAGTGATGGACAGGTCCATGCTGATGGAGTGGGCCAGCCAGATGATGATAAGGTTTCAATTGAACCGATCCGAACTGACTATACAACGGAAAGCATAGATGAAAGCTGGCGACATTCCATGAAACATGATTGTGACGACGCCTCGACTCACCTTATCACTGCTTCCCATTTTATCCATCCATGCGCGCTTCCACAGGCTGTCCATTGATTTCCCGCCCTGATGAACTGAAACTCCGGATGGAATATTACGCCCGCTCCACGGTATGCTTGACATTGAAAACCTTAAAATACCGAATGAGATACAGCGTTGAGGTCAACTCAATCAGCCAACCAGAAGAGCAGTGGACGTACCAAGGACGAGCTTAGTTATCTAACTAAGGTAGGCTTTTGTTCCAGTGGGGGCTATAGCAGCTATATTCGACCCCAATCCGGAATCGTGGAAAGAGTTACAAAGCAATTACACAAAACAAGGATGGCTGAAGTCAATCTTTCATATAAGTTGAGGTCGCATTATTCCTGAAGGAATCTCAGTCAACAAGCCTTGTAAAAGTGACAAGCTTTCCTCAAGAGCGCTCGTCGCAAATTTACATTAATGGTAAGCGCTACATTATCATAACTTGAAAACATTGACACTAATTACAAGAAAAAACTTGAGCAGCTATTCAATGTAAAGTTTCTCCTCTTTTTGGTCCTAAAGGTCATGCTAGGATTATGATCTCAAATGACTTTGACCCTGCCAGAGGTGTCTGTATTGAGCTAGAAACGGAACCATAGAGCCCATGAAAGGATTTCGGACTCTGTGATGACTTGTTGAAGATAAAGCCCTAGAAGACACGGCGACTCACCTTCGTCCCTCATATGTTCGTCTATCTGATGTCCCGCATTTACGTTCTCTGAAATCAATTCCAGCAAAGTGCCGTTGCAACGCTTCAGCCATCACATTCATCAGTGGCTCTTCCTGAACTCGTTTATTTGGGAACTGGACACTGAAGGCATTATTTGAAAACTAACTCTCTCGTAATCTCCGAAAACTGTGTCATCCTCGGGATAAATTCGTCTTACTGGACTGTGAAGGATCTGTTGGCCGCTCGGAGCCTCCTCTTACGTAGCGCTCAATGGAATGCAACCAGAACCAAACCGCATCACGGCAATTATATCTTGCACCTGAAAGATTGAAATTCGAAGACAAGAAGGCACAGTGGTGGATTCACGTTGGTCGAGTCGAAAAGTTGGTACCCGATATAAAGACGATTTTTAACTGTGACCATCAAGTTATCAAACTAGTTTATTGGACTTCTAAGAAGCTGTCGTGGAGTCCGCAAGAATGGACTACTTAGTGGGTAAATTATTTACCCCCGCGCGAGTTGTGTACAGGTTTACAGGCAAACATATCTTGGGAGAAAAAATGACAGCGACCTTTGCATTGTCATAATTACATTACTAAGTTAAAGGTTCGGTTTGTTGAGACTTTTGTCGGTCTTTCGCCGTGTCGTTACTTCGGTTTGCCCTCCATGTTCGGGAGGTGCCCTGGCTTCTTTTCGTTCGTAAAATGCTCACGCATATCAAAACCGAAGTGATAGAAAAGACCAAATTTTAAACTAGAGCAAAATTTAACTTGTATTATCGATCTGATGAGATGTTGCTGCTGTGATATCCCTTCACTATATGCGAAAATAACTGTTCACTTTAGCAACCACTTCACAAAGTGACAAGGTCGCAGCTATTGGGAAGCACGAAGAGAAACGCATAGCATCGGTAAATCGAGAGCCTGACCACTGTTCGATAAAAGTTGGTATAATTCATTGTATTAGTGGACTAAAAACAAAGGGGAAGACGGAGCGGAGAACGCTCCGCCATTAAGTGATCATTTACTTAACTTATTGCAGACCGC